AGGTCGGTAGGTAGGCGGGCAGGTGGGTGGGTGAGTGGACAGGCAGGGGGGTGAGTAAATACATATTTGAGTAGTTATTGTCAATTAACTAATCAGTCAGGTAGTTAGTTAATTAGGTGGGTAGTTAAATACTTAGCTATTTACTCTGTCAGCCAATCCATCAGGCAGTCAGGCAACTAGGCAGGAAGTTATTTGATAGTACAAATGGTTAAGTATTTGGTTATGCACTTCATCATTTTATTAAGAAGGCAGTTAAATAGTTATTCACTTTATCAGTCAACCACACAGTGAAAAGTTCAATAAGCAATGCAGTGAGGTAGACAGTTATTTAGATAGAAGAATAATTTTTTTTTCCAGTAAGTCTGGCCATTAATTAGATAGACAGTTAAGTAATCAGCATTTATTAGTCACTCATTCAGTCAATCATACAGTCAGCCATGCAGTTAAGTAGTTATTTACTTTTTTTCAGCTAGTCAGATAAGTAGACAGTTAATTAGGTACATGGGCACTTAAGTATGTACTACTTACTTTGTAATTAAGTTAGACAAATCAAGATGTAATGTGTTCTTTCCAACTTACCTGCCTGTATACTGGAGGAAATCCTTTTTGAGATACACATCCATTCCTGTAAGTTCTGATAAGTGGGACCTCTGGAATAAAAAATGTTGTACATATGAATTAGGATCAATACTGTAAAAAGAATTAGAACCATCACAGTCAGCTGAAGTTTCTCATCTTCAGTTCCATTAAAAGAGCTCATAATATTTGACAGAGTGTGTTCAAAGATGGCTTGGATTCAGAGTGTGATGTGATGCCCCAACCATGTGTGTGTTTATTATTCAACATATTACTTATTCACCATCTTACGCACAATGCACCCTTCTAAAACTAATTTAAAATTTATTATATCACAAAATGCGTCTTTTTAAACCTCATTTAGAAGTTTCTCTACACTGCACTACATCTTTCGACTGATATTGGTCAGCATCAGGTGTTTAAAATTGTTGGTGAAAACTGCCGTGCTTCCATTTTGTGATTCTAACATTTGATGTGTAGTTGCATCTACACATTCATAGTCTAGACAAACAACACAACAGGAAGAGTCACCCAGCAACATAGACTATATGAGCATGGTAACTGAAAGTTTAATCTTATGTTCACAAAAGCTGGCTATAGGACTTCTCCCTCACAGTAGACTTCTCTACAGTCTGTTATCATCCTTACATTCAATCTAGGTATAAATAGAAACAAAACATACATATAACTAAATTATCATACAGTAATGGCTCTCTCTGTCTTAATTTACAGACATGAAAACCATTTCATTAGTATAACTTACAGATGTGCAACTAAGGCAGAAGAAATGAGACTGCTGAAATATGCCAGCATTTAAACACTTCTTGTATATCAAAATAATTTTCATGTACATACTAGAATACCAACCAATGAATGACTCTCTGATCACATTGCCGATTATAAAGAAACAGGCAGAAGAGAAATAAGAGACCAAGAAAGAGATGGGAACACTTTTTCAGCAAATTTTTCACTGACGTTAGAACATCAACAGATTCATAATGTTCCAGATTTAAGTAACCAACTGTGAATGCTGATTGAAGGTTCTTTCCTTATTTCCCTAAAATTTTTAGCTTCCAAAAATGGTTACCATAACCAGGAATAGTAACTATTCTATGGCAAGTAATTGCTGGTATTTGAAGTGAATCTGAACATTGTAATATTTTTAACCAAATGTGTTGTGAGCATTGTTTCAGTAATAGCAATTTCCATGTCTTTTCATTTGTCTGACCATCCAGGTGTCCACACAACTCTATGCATGTCCACGTGTTTAAACTTGAGAATTTGGTTTTTGATGAAAGAGATTTTCATCACAAATTTGAACTTTAAAATTTCCTATGATCAGTAATAGCAATATGGTCAATTTATGAATTTGTGAGATAGGAGCAATATTAACACAACTAACAAACTGCAGTATCAGTGGTAACAAACATTAACCATAGTAATCATATGAAACAGTAATAATAAGAATCGTAGTAACAGCAACAAAACAACCAAACAAAACAAAATAAAACAGCAACAACAGTAATGACAGAAACCCAAGTAACCACAGTACTGTAGCTTTAGAAAATATACATGCATTCAAAAGCAAATTCAGAATATTGAAGTGCAAAGAATGCATGTGTAGGCTATGTACATTCTAGCACAGACAGCACCTACCCAGTACTGTTGTAGTCTAATAAAAATCACAGTACACCATCACACAAACCCTTATTTTCAATAAGATACAGTCAGTTCTATAACATCTTTTGGTCTTCAAGACCATCATCAAGTGGAAGTTATTACAAGATTGTTCAAAGACAAGATGGATCTGGCTCAAAAACATTAATTTATCTAGTAACCTTTATAAAATTATATTCTGTGTACAGTTCTGGTAGGTTCCGAACAATTTTATAACCTAGAATCATAAGCCACGGTTCAATGAAGGATGCTCAAAATTATTAGATTAAAGAAAGTAGGCCAAATTGCAGTGGTTACAGGATTCAAGCGAGTTAATGGGGATAATCTGAACAATATAACACGTGAAACCAGCAGGCATTTCAGGAACAAAAAGAGGGAATATCTGAAAGACAAAATTGATGAGCTTGCAATGAACAGTAAGAACAAGAATATTAGAGACCTGTATAGGGGAATAAATGACTTTAAGAGGGGTTACCAGCCTAGCAGTAACTTAGTGAAGGATGAGAATGGTGATCTGCTTGCAGATTCCCACAACATTTTGAATAGGTGGAGGAACTACTTCTCTCAGTTATTGAATGTACATAGGGTCAGTGCTGTTAGGCAGACAGAAATGCACATGGCTGAGCCGTTAATACCTGATCCTAGCCCTTTTGAAGTTGAAAGTGCTATTGCAAAATTGAAACGGTATGAATCGCCAGGTAGTGATCAAATTCCTGCAGAACTTATTCAAGCAGGAGGTGAAATATTACATTCTAAAATCCACAATCTAATTACTTCTATTTGGCATAAGGAAAAATTGCCTGGTCGGTGGAAGGAGTCTATTATTGTACCAGTTCCCAAGAAGGGTGATAAAACTGACTGTAGTAATTATCGGGGGATATCACTGTTATCAACTGCATACAAAATTTTATCCAATATTCTTCTCTCAAGGTTAAGTCCATATATAAATGAAATAATTGGGGATCATCAG